CTTATAATAACCACTCAGTAATATAAGCATTACTGCGTTCCGGTTTTGAAGGGAAAGGGGTGCTGGTGAAATAACAGGCACATGGGACTTGCCAACTTATGTCCCAGGGTGACGAGTGCAGTGGCAATGCCCTTCAGATCCTTGTGATTTAAAACTCTAAGTGGCACTGCAACTGTTATGGATAGACGTGTCACGTACCACCAGACGCACGATCTGTTCGTTCTTCACTGGGTATAACAAAAAAAACAACTCTAAGGAGACAATCACAACGCGATAAAATAACGGCCTTTTTGTACAAATTATTTTATCAACCAAACAAAATGTATGAAATTTTTATTATTTTATATTTTTTAGTAAACATATCGTTATGTTCATCAAAGGATTTATACACCTGTATATACATATGTGTACAAGGAAAAATGTGTTGTGTGTGTTCAATTACTTTACAGTCATTTACCTCGCCTTAAGTTGAATCAGATAATAAATAAGTTTTCCGTTACAAAAGTTATAAGTTTTCCATAAAAAAAGGCACACTTGTAACAATAAAGCCATTTGATTAGAAAAAAATATGCATTTGACAGCACGCATTTTAAATTTAAAATTAGTATGTCGCTTATAATAACTACGGCCTAAAGTTCATAGTGCGAAGCCGAGTGCGCTGTCGATGATAAGTGTTTTTGGCTCTTCTCAACTCAGTCGGTAAGACCGGTAGCCACGGTGAGACGGCAGACACTGGTTCGAGAGTAGAAGGATTATTATATATATAATAACAACAAACCACTGAAATATTCTCACAAAAAATATATGAAGATCATCATCAAATACTTTTGGCTTTTTTATGATATCAAGCGACACGGGACGCAAAAGTTATGCGCTTGAAGTAAGCAACACGCCTATCCTTGACAGTTGCAGTACCATTCAGAGCTTTAAATTGCAAAGATATGAGGAGCACGCCACTACAATTGTCACCCTGAAACATAAGTTGACAAGCCTCATCTGCCTGTAATTTTACCAGCACCCTTATCCTTAAAAAATGCTCACAATACTGCTTAGTGGCGGAAATAGATAAGACGGCTGTATTTTTTCGTGACAGGCGCAGTGGCAGAGCCCCTGAAATCTGACTAGAACTGCAACAGTTATTAATGTTAGGCGTGTAGGATTACATCAGACACACGGCTTGGTCGTCTCGTCACATGTTATTATAAAAAAAACTTCTCTGGACAAACTCTTTCACACGGAGCTCTACTGCTACTAAAACTGGTTCTTTCTCTAACCCCGTCTAAACCTTCATCACATTATGAATACTTAAGTACTTTTCAAAATCAAAAATATTTTGTAGATAAAATGTAGATATTAATATAGTGATGTATCAGTGTCCCGTTAAAATTGTAAATAGTTACAAAATAACTAATTTGCAATTTTTGACAAATAGTCAACACAATATTTTTTCTGTACATTTCAAAAATAAAAGTGTCTTCCGCGTTGTAACTTAACGTTCACAAATATTATGTCCATGAATGCTATTTATTTAAGTAAACTTTGTAGACTCATTCAATTCAAATTTATTTATCACATTAAATTGTAGTAATTGATTGGTTCAAATAAATTATTTAATCAATCAATTATTTACCATTTAAGACATTGCGATATGTTTAGTACATAACGCTACAAAGTTGCTATTTGAATTTGTGATTGGGATTTTTTTGTAAGGGTATTTAGATTAGGAAACTAGAATTTTCTAAAACCCCAGCAAATAGAGCGCTTAATGGAGTCGGTAGGTAAGCGCTTGTAAGACGCAGTAGACGTACACTATGGCTATCATAGCCAAAACTTTGCTTTGTAATTTTAGTGCAAGGCTTACCTTGTTGAACAAAACTTACTCCTACATTAATTACGATTTCTTCTCAAAGGCCTTTTTAAAAATAATTTTCAGAGATTACTTTCCTCTTCTTCGCATAGTTCTATCATTTATTTTATAAACTTAATTCACGTAAAGTAAAAAATGTAAGTCACGTATTTTTTTATATTATTATAATAGCCGATTTGTTTGATTTTCCACTTTTTGCAAAATGCTTTATTTTCTAGTCAATTTGCTTATTATTTAAGCCAATCTTAATTGTATACTATAAAGCTAACATAAGAGGCTAGAATTTTAACATTATCTTTACAGATTCAGCGCTCTATAATAAAAACAGATTTTTTCTTAAATTAGATACGATACCACAGATAAACCACAACAATCATTGTAACGTAAAAAAATTAAACAAAAAACAAAATCACAACAAAAACGAAACGGCAAATTAAATCACAAACTATTTACGAAAATAGACACCAAATATAAATACTTTAGGTGGTGTCACCTGCGGTAATAAAAAGATTACAAACTCGGTAGAGTCTGAGAAGGCAAAGCCAACATAAATTCAGATTCGTTAAAGAGGTTCAATTATTATAACTTATACAAGGCGTAACTTAACAAGGACACATCTCTGTTAACTTTATATATTCAAATTCAACGGTATGCCACTTACACGGATCGAAATCCTAAGTATAAATCTTAATGTGCTGTTGACTGCACAATCTAAAAACCAGCAAGTTGGCGATATTATCGTGCACATTTTTTGTCTATACTTTTTGGTCAATTCAAATAAGGTAACAACAAAATTGCATTATATTTTGTACGCGACAATATTATATTTTTCATACTAACTGAAATAAAAACCATAAAAACTTCTATTCAATCATTCGTTATATTGTTAATGTAATTAAAAAACTTTACTTATGTTATCTTTTAATTCCCAAAAAGTTAAACCCCTACTAATTTAAAGCGTAATACCTGCTTTTTACATAAATAGTAAATATTACTTAAGTACATTGTGACTCATTATTTATTGTACATATTACTCTTACAGCGACAGGGATACAGTGTGTAACACAAAGGTAGGCCATATTTTAACTCTTGATCGTACTCATGCACACAAACAATATAAACACGGAAAACAAATTGTTGGTTCCCTATACAAATTTCCAAGTGACCACACCCGGTGCCCCTGGGGGACCATACATTTTTATTTTTCGAAGTTTGTGTCAAATTTTCTGCTACATTTATCAACGGTTAAAATGTGGTCGCATATTTGTGTAGCCCTTGAATGATCTATATATTTTTTTCACTTATTCTCAACTATTTAATTAACTAATTTCCAGTAATTTGGCAAATGACTTTGTTTTAAATGGTATCATTTAGAGCTCTGCTACGACGTCTAGAATTCACACTCTTAGTATAATAAGGCCACAATAGAAAAATAAAAAATTTTCTGGAAAAAAGTATAAAGATTCTACAAACGAATTTAGAAGATAATTTTTATGTTTAATTAAATTAGTTCTGAAATTTCAAATTTGTTTCATGTGTTTCGTATTATTTTTATGACTTTCATGTGATAAAAGCATTTTGACGGGATGACAAGTGGCTTTATTATACCAAAAATACGAGTTATTGCCACTCACGCCCTATACTGTAATTCAATGTTGAACACCAAAAACATTTCACCTTATATGTATATTCTACATTCACTCTGTATGCTTGATGTACTCCTCAAATACACTCACTTCATATTTTTATACAAAACAGTCATAATTCAGACAGAATTAGGAATACTAAATGACGCTTAACTGACAATTAATAGTCCCCTACATGTTACCACACGTATCAGTCAAAACTTAATAACTAAGACTTCCAAATTTCCAATACAATGCAATTAATTACTATGTGGTTATTGCATTTCACACTCACACTTAAGAAGAGAACAAATTACTGATGGCTGAGGAAAAAATTGTCAGGAAGATACCAGTGCATAGTGAGGATGGTAGACAAAGAGTCCGCACTAATGCCGAATAGCAGAGCTAAGACCCAAACAAGCATCATAGGTGAAACTAAAGAGCACAGACTGTCTTGGCCATTTAGAAGGAATGGGAGACGAACGGAAACAGAGTCCATTTTTTGGTCGATCTACTAAACGAAGTCGCTTCAGGTACAGCAAGATCATTGCTGTGGAATGATTAGCGAGGGACAAGCACATTACTGAAGGAGGTGACATAAATTCGTTTCTGATGCCAGGACATATTTTGGTTCACTGAGCCAGTTAAATTCAGGTTAGCTTTACAATTCACAAAATTCAAGAAGAAAATATTATTAAATATTATTCACACTTAAAATTAATTTCAATAGTGATATTTTATATGATGGCCCATACTAATGAGGCCCTCATGAAACTTGTTCGTTCTTGTTTGTTCGAGGAAGGAAATCGGGCATCTAACTAAATAAATAACTAGAAAGCTAGGAATCTGAGATTAATATATATGCAATGTAATACACATAACAGTGCAAAATAAATTAATGTTCATCTACTTTTAAAAAAAACTTACAGACCTATGGCGCAAAGTCAGCATTCATCTATATAACGTTGTTTGTTAACGGTCGAAGAACTTTCATAAATACCAGCCGACAAAATCCAATAAATTTAAATATTTTGCTTAAGACCATATCATTAGCATCCTATTTAAGAATCAGCTCTAATCGGTATAGTCTCCTCTACTCCTCACGGTTCATTGGCAGCTTCTTGACCTCTTTACAGCAGCTCACTAAGATGTTCTTTTAAATTTTTATTGAATTGATATTCAATTATTTTTTGTTAAATTACTCCACTAGTTTGTTATAACTATTAATACAAACATTGAACACTCAGAAAAAAATGATGATGATGTTCTTCTTTATTTGTTCACATTCTCCCTTCCTCTCTTTCTTTTTCCTTATATTTTCCCCTCAATTATAAATATTATCACAATGATGTTATTACGATATGGTATTCTCTACCCACATTGCACTTATCCTCAGTATTAGAAATTTGAAAGTTCTTTTGGAATTGGAAATTTAACTATTTTTTCGGATCTAAATTGCCAGCGTAAAGGTAACTGATAAAGATCAGTCCTCACTGTGGAACCTGTAACGAGACCCAAACGTTGGTTTATTTAAAACAACAAACATACGTGATTTAAATTCGAAAAAATGGTTTCATTTCCTATGTTTAGCAAACTGCAAAATCCTAAAAACTTAAAAATTTATGTTTGTTAACAAACTTAATACTCGGCGATGTTTTCTAAAGGCTGCGACCGCAAATATGTCTTGATGGACTCGTAAATTTTCTTGTTTGGTTTCTCGAGCATCGGTCCACCGAATTCAACTGAGATTATCTTCCAGTTGTCATTCATAAATCTCAACATGGTGTCACCTGGAATTTTCAAATTGATTATATAGCTTACGAATCATGGTGTTTTTAATGATGGCGCTACAGTTCATGATTTCTATATAAAATTCAGTAAAATACACAAAGTGAAGAGGGTATTTTTAACTGATCTATAAATAATAAGATTAACCCGACGGGTAACGCCATTGACACAATACTAAGAGCGGTTACACACGGCGACTTTTAGCAGTGAGGAAAACGCGATGCAAACGCGATGCAAATGCGATACAAACGCGATGCACGTTTTAAACTAAATAACTAATTTCTCTATGTAATGTTTAAATTAATTTCACTTTGCAATTAACATAAACCCATACAATTTTTGGTACATAATGATTCAACATAAGCGATTGTATCATTGCAGTCGCGTGTTTGCGTTTATGCAATCGCGCGTTGGTATCGATGCAATCGCGCGTTTGTTTAAATTCAGTCGCGCGTTTGCATCGATGGAATCACCTATAAATCGCAAGTGCAAAAATCTGAGGAGCACTGCCTCTGTGCCCGTCACCCTGAGACATAAATTGAAAAGACCCATGTGCCAGTAATTTCACAAGCACGGTTACCCTTCAAAATCGAAATGTAGTAATGCTCATTTTACTTCTTGGCGGCAAAATTAGGCAAAGTGGCAGTACTACTACTAGATATTAAGAATGAATAATCGTATGTTAATAAAAACCATAACCGACTTACTTAAAACCTTGTTTCCATTGAAAAGATTAGTCAATTGAAAGTTGGCGCCGTCCATAACTTCGTATTTGTACTTGTAGCTTTTTAAGTCTATCATGTCCTTGCCGTCAGATGTCTTTGCCATAGTGAACGGAATCGTCATATCCACGTGGAGTTTCTCTGTGAATCAGGTTTTATTAAACAATATTAAAAATTTAATAGTGACCGATAGGCTTAGTGAGGTATGTGGCAGTATTATGGTATAATAACATAAGTATGGTGACTTGTATGTGTGCGCGCCCGCCGCGTGCCCTGTGCCACATTAGCATAATCTCGCTATGCACTCGCGTTGCATAGTGCTCGTCGTCTCACGCATTATTGTGCGAATGGAGTTACCATACTTTTCTATGATACTCTAAGTGACTGAACGAACAAGTCGTGCGCCTGATGGCAAGCAACACGCCTGCCCATAACAGCTGCAGTGCCACTCAGATCTTTAAATCTCAAAGATGTCTTATTATCAATGATCAGAAATGAGGGAATTAAATCTACCTAAAATATGAAAGTTGTCTTAGTATGGACATACAAATTTCGTCATCTACGTGTATAACGTTTCTTTTTTATTCTTTATTTCCTAAACATTCCAAAATACTTTTTACAATGGACAAATATTTAAATACGTAACTACCTATAAAAACACAACTACAATATTATTTTTTGAGACAGTAAATTTGTAGCAAATATTTAATAGGAAATAATAATTTGTTGCCTTGAAGCTTGACGTGCTCTTTACCTTGTACTCAAATTTCAATAAGTAATATGCACAATGATATACAAAACATAATCAGATCCGAGAAGTCTTGGGATTTGTAGAAGGGAATGTCCACGTTATTCTTTAGTTTAGCTAAATTAACTCCCTCGATTCCGACCATTGCTTATTATATGTGGCACTATGTAACAATATATCCACTATTGCTCATACCTTTCCCCAACATTCATAAAAGCTTAGAAATAACGTAATTGCCTGTTTTGTTTGTTTTAAATAATATAATTTGAAATCTAAAACTCCCACTAAAAGTCTTATTATATTAATATGGAACGAAGGTATTTATGTATGTTATCTAAAAAAGACCTTTGTAAGTATTAAAAAAATAATTATTTTCTTCCAACGGAAAATCATAGTGAGTTCGAACGCTTTCAGAATACATAACGAAATTAATCAAAGAACAATAGCTTCCTCTGGTCTCGACACTTTATTCTGAGACATTCTTTGAATTTTCTATTCTCTTTAAATCGTAAAATGCAAGGAGATGAATTCCCAATAGATTGTCTAGTACATTCAATACAGCAAAAGATAATTATAGCAGCGTCTTAAGTATTCGTGCCAAAATCGCCACTATCATCTGCATAAATCTTTTGGTTATAAAAAATCACACACGTACATCATATCTGCATAAAATACAAAACATACTTAGTTTAAGAGTAAAATCGCCATCTCCAGTGATAGGCAGCACTAGCAATCTGCCTGAAGCCTTGTAATGCCCCTTCATAAAAATGTCAGTGTCCCAAGCTACTGCGATTTGCTTCTTCTCCATGGCAACACTGGAAAGTAAATAGAAAGTTCACTAGAAACTATACTGTAATAAAAAAAGAAAATAAAATTACATTCTTACATGCGGCATCATGTAAATAATGTTATAAATAGTGAGAAAAAAGAGGTGGTTCTCAAAATTGTACTTTTTTTACGTGTGTGTATTACGGAAAGAGGGTAACTTTATAGTAGTCTCATTCAAATTTGAAGAAAATATTCCATCTCTGAGGTTGACAAATTATGGGATGAATCCGATTTATTGGATTTCACTCACTTTCCGCTACCCGATTTCAATAAAACTTGTCAAATCGATGTAATTCCACAAACTTTTGAATTAGATTTTTTTTAATAAAAAGTAATTAATTATTTTGTTTAATTATTAATACGAAGATCGAACACTTAGAAAAAAATACTTCGATCCGGCCGATTTCCAACCGACGTCCGTGCCATACGCTAAGCCACGGAACGAACCAGTGAACCTCACGAATTTATCTATGTGCTCATTGTCAGATCTTTGTATTTGGTTTTCAACGACTTTTTAGCTGTAGCGTCTATGAGAAATCTATGAAAGTATTTCGTCACCCAGTTAGGTACCTTTACGGCTACCAGCTTTGGCTAGAGATGTCGCTATTAACTGTAATTAATTTTTTATTTAATGTCAGAATGTTTAACCACCATGATATTTAATTGTTTTTATATCATAATCAGATAATTGAATATCATGGTGGTTTAATATTCAATATAAATTTAAGGCATAATTATTATAAATATTTATAGACTGATTGCACTTAATGTGGAAATTTCAAATTTTATCTGTAAATCGGAATCACTAGGACAAGTTATTTACTTTACAGCCTATGTACATACACATAGGCGTTCATATCTGCCCTTGTCTTTCCTTTGTTGTCAGATCTTTTATTTAAGGGTCACGAAATAATAGTATCAACGTCAATCAATCCAAATAAACAAGGGGACTGGGTTCAACGTTGCCGAAAACTTCAAAACATTTAGTCAACTTTTATCGTCGATAAAACTGTCAGAGAATCAATAGAAAGTTTTCAAATCTTTGAATTGTACGTTCTGAAGTATTTTCATGCTTGAAATCAAGATATGTAATACGGTGTGAATTTTCCACACATATGAAGTCGTTGCACTTGCGTCAGGAGTGGTTATTAAGAAACCGGTTTCATCTGGTTATCGCAAAAGGATCACAGCTTTACGACCATATTGCCTATTCATATTACCTTCTATGAAATAGGTGTTCTACTACTAAATTTCACACATATAGCTATGTTATATGTTTTAGGGATGTATTTTATCAGAGATGTAAAAAAATACTTTCGATATGTATACTGCCTTAATGTCCAATTTAGTCTGATACAGTGTTATAACTCTGATTTGTACTCTGTATATATTACATTTTTGTATGTACTTTTGTATAAAAATACGAACCCATTTTCGAATTACTGTGTATGATAATGATAATGTATTTTTAATGACAAAGTGCCTGATATCAAACTAGGAAATACCCTGTATTATGAAACCCAGATTAACATTACCCAAAACAACCAGACCAGAACCAGTTTTGAATGATTTTTCGGAATTGAATGACTATGACTATGAATCGAAGGTGCGCTTCAAACTTAGGGCCGTATTCCAGAACTCTACTCAATGCTGAAGTCAGGACTTGAGTATGATTTCAAGCACTTATTGATTTAGAATGATTTCTAACTTTTGATCTATATTATTCTTCTACTTAGCCAATAAATAGCTACATTTGTGGTTTATATTTTACGAGGCCAGTATTTTACTAAGGTTATTATTACATTATCAATAATATTACCCTTTCACGCACATTATCAGCATTTACCGTCAAATTAAATATTAGAATACGATCGTACAGAGTACCCAGTTTCGCTAAGAATGTCAAAAAATCAGCAAAGTCGTGCATCTAATGGTAAGCGACACGCCTGTCCTTAACAGTCGTAGTGCCGCTCAGAGCTTTAAATAGCAAACATCTCAGGGGCACTGCCACAGCGCCCGTCACCCTGAGACATAAGTTCACAAGTCCCATGTGCCTGTAATTTCACCAGCACTCTTAACCCTTCAAAACCAAAACACAGTAATGCTCACATTACTGCTTGGCGGCAAAAATAGGCAAGGTGGCAGTACTTCCATGGACGAACTCTTTCACAAGGATTCTACTGCTACTAAATACTATCCACGAAAAGGTTAAGGACTCAACTCGCCTAATTACACGGGGGAAAATATCTTATATTGTACATACTCTGTTTTCGTAAGATTGGCCTTCCTTAATCCTTTTATAGAGATGTCGTTTACAACTAGCTTCAGGCCAGCCAAGTCCACCTTGATATTATCCACATGCATTACGTCAAGAGGTTCCGTGCCAATGTCTGGCATGCCAGCGGTGAATACCGGTATCGCACCTTGTGCCGAAGATCGGATACAGTTGGAATCTGAGAGCTTGCACTTTGGAACTGGCACTGTAATAAGGATAGAACTTGATATTATTTGTTGTTACTAGATGAATATTCTTAAAGCAATGTTCTTCCTCATCAACGCATTGGAATGAAAAGGTGTGATACATATTTGTTAACCTTGGCCTATAACAGAGCTTCCTACGTCGACGACCTAAACAAGATAATTTCTTGATATTATTCACTGTTATTAACGAAACTTAACTGGGTTGCCAGGTGCATACGAGTATATAACATTATGCAATCTATACACTTACATTTTATTAACAAAATTGTCCTATGCTCGTTTAAGTACATGACGAATAATAATATAATAATAAATAATAATAATAAAATTGTTTATTGAATAACGTATTGTACAAATGAATAACTGAAGACTCATTATGCGAATAAATGTAAAATATAACACATATACCTGAATTAGGAGAATCCTGTATTTCAGGAGAATGAAAATGCAAACCACGGAAAGGAAAAAAAAAGTAAAGGTACCATATTTTTGCAATTCACAGCACAATTCACTGAAAAATAATCTGACTTTTATCAATAAAATAGAATAAAATAGAATAGAATCATTTATTTCATATAATCAATTTCATAATATCACAATTCGAAATATAATTAATGTCAAGGGATAACATGATCGTCATTAAGGTAAATAATAATTTTAATGTTAATATAAAATAAAATAATTAAAAGGGAAATAGAGAAAAATACGAACTACAAAAATACAAATAAAAATTTAAATATTTTCAAAATACAAACGTCCAAAATTAAAAATATAATTACAATTTGTTTAAAAGAAATTCCTCTACACTGTAGAATTCATTATCCAATAAAAGGTCTTTCAGTCGGGAACAAAACACTTAGTCATTTGTAACACTTTTTAGACTTGTTGGTAGGTGTTCGTAAAATCGGGGCCCGATTACTCGCGGATGTCTGGTTGCGAGTTCGGTTCGATAAGCAACGGGTTTCAGTATTCCTATATTACGTAACAGTCGGCCTCCGCCTATGCATTGCTCGTAATATGTATGTTTTTATGCACAAAAACAATTACATCGTGAATGTACTGTGAATACGTTGTCATCATTCGAAAAAGACTACAGGACTGATTATCTTTTATGCCCGCTATGGTTCGTAGTGCGCCTTTCTGGAGAATGAATACGCTTTTGGACTCAGTGGAATTGCCCCATATTGTAATACCATAGGACATCAATGAGTGGAAGTATGCAAAGTACGTTTGCCTCAACACCGCAGTGGACACAAGAGGACGCAGTTTCCGCAGCGCGTACGTAGCACCTCCTAGTTTCTCGCACAAAGACTGAATATGGGCTTTCCAGCTTAAGTCTGTAGTGAAGCCCAAGAACTTGCATGTGTTGCATAGTAGAACCGCAGAGGATAGGAGCTTAATGGAATCAATGACACTTCTTGATTGAATCAATCAAAATTTATCTGAACCTATCAGTCACAATGATTGTAGCAACTTTTCAAATAAAAACATTATTATATTATATATTATTATTTTTGAAAAAAATTGAATCATATTGTAATTGATTCGATTAAACGTCACTTGATAAGCAGGTTTTTAGTTTTAGCGTACATTTGGAACAAAATAACAAAAAGACTAAATAAATAAAATTGAAAAAATAATATTTGTTTTATAAAATCGCTAATAATAACACTCAAACGTTCTAATTAAATTAATTTACCGCCAGCAATAAATTGAGATTAGTCACGCAAAACAGGACAAAAGACACCTTATTGCTGTTCTTAACATCACATCACACAGAGACATCTTATTGTTGTTTAAGATAATTATTTTAATCGCGAAGGAGCATCAGATCAATAATAACCCTACTTACATTACTAATTATTCCCCACACAAAGAATAAAAAACAAACTATTTTGCTGCCTATTGTTTCATTTTGCAACGTTAAACGTCTGATGTTCGGGAAATTTTTCAAGTATTTATGGGAAAAATGTACCGTGCCGTTATTACCAGTTACTTATGTCTATTACATAAGCATAATGCTACACTGGAATCGGAATATCTAAAAAACAGAAGATTTGAAGCCCATACCTTATGCTTTTGAAGAAACGACATTAAAGGACGTTATTATGTGCCGTATCACATAAATGGAAAATAGATGTATGGCCTACATCTATTTCTCTCATGAGTTTTGGTGTAATTTGTGGTTGTCCATGTGGGTGTCCATGGCACACACGGCACAGGATTTCTCAGTGCGACGCTATGAGTGTGTGTGAATTATTTATTTAATTTGATAGGCCCAAACACGAGTTTTTAACCGACTTCGAAAAAGGAGGAGGTTTTCAATTCGACTGAGTTTTTTTTTTGTATCTATGTTACGCAATTACTCCGGAATTTGCGAACGGATTTTGAAGAGTTTTTTTGTTGGAAAGAGTGTATCTTATTAAGTCTTGGTCCCATTTAAATTTGGAGAAAATATTTCACATCTAAGTGTGGCAAACCCCTAGTTTGCCTCTCATGTGGATTCGCGCACTTTCCGTTAACCGATTGCAATAAAACTTAGCAAATAGGTGTAATTCTGAAGTACCAATACTGAAGATCCATCTTTCCAACAAAAAAAAATCATCGAAATCGGTTCACAAATGTCGGTGTAATCGCGGAACGTACACACACAAAAAATACAGTCAAATTGAGAACCTCCTCCCTTTTTTCAAGTCGGTTCAAAATCAACAACGTATCAACGGCATCAAAGACTTACCGGTTATCTACAAAATCAGGACAGAGAGTTTTTTCGATGGATAATAGACAAATCAAACTAGCTCAAATTTTCAGCAATATTGAAAAGATAATATCTGAAGGACATTCAAATGTAATATAAAATATATAATATAATATAGTTTTGTATATTATTATCCCAAGTTTTTAATTTCAAAACGCTCAAGTGTAAAATAGTGATTTTTGCAGAAAACCGGTTACTTTTTTCTACAGTCGGTTTTTTTTCTAATATCCAGTAACGGGACGAACAAGTCGTGTGCCTGGTGGTAAGCTTTAAATCGCAAAGATCTGAGAAGTACTGCCTGTAATGTCACCAGCACCTCTTCAAAATCGGGACGCAATAATGCTCATATTACTGCTTGGTGGCAGAAATAGGTAAGGTGGCAGTACTTCCCTGGACGAACTCTTTCTCAAGGAACTCCACTGCTACTAAATATATGTATGATAGTATACATGTACGTAAGTACGTATTAAAATATGTAGATCTTCAATAACAATGCAAAAGTTATACGCTTTAAATTATATAATAACAGAAGTACATATCTCCGTATAAAATATTTAATGGATACGTACAAGAGAGACCGACACATTAATTAATGTGAACACGAGTGTCTTTTATTTTAATTCATAAGAACAAAACCCTGAAATGATTAATGGAACCCCAAGCGTATCCCCTTCTCGAATAATTATAAGGATTTTCACAAGGCTTTCCTGTTTTCTTAAATTTGGAATTGCGTACCACCTCCCCATAATTGCACGGAGAGGTCATTAAAGTTGTTTACAAAAGGCAAAACATCCATTAGAATAATGCATTTATTCTATATTACAACGTTGCAAATAAACAAGTACTTACTTAAACAATTATTAATTTTGCTGCAATATGTTAATATAATATATGTATAATAACTGAACATAAAAAAAATAATTGCAATGTTGTCTTTCCGACCGTGACCAGATTTACTTAATAACTTTTGTGCCATATTTCTTTATCTACCAAGGATATCTACGTAAATAAACAGGACTAGCCCGGCTGGAAGAACGCTTGTTCTTCCAACCGGGCTAGTTATACTGGAGATTCGGTTAAAATTGAAAATATTTTCGATGCCTGACGTAGTTTAGAGTACAAATTGTATCATAATAATATGCGTAAACTGTGAAAGAACATTGAGATCGCGTCATCGCATAAGACCTAAATTCAGTTTTTAAAAACCCGTGCTTAGCAGTGGAACGTATACAGACGAATTAGTGTAGGTCTTTTTGCAGTTTAAATGGTATAACTTTCGACTAGATGCGGTAATTTAAACAAAATTGTCATGGATAAATTATGTAGTTTAATTAGTTTAGTATTTAAAAAGCCCTGCATTTTTGCACTCTAGTTTACTAATCACGAATAACTTGTTTAATTACTAACTTACCTATGTACTATCATTCAGGAATATATAATAAAATATATTAAATTATATTAAAAACACTTACATTCAGAAAAAACAATTATAATCTGTGTTACACATATTATCAAATGCGTTATCGAATTCATTTTTTTTTAAATTGTTATTATTTTTTACTTTTCAATTTTCTCAATGCACGTTCCGTTGACCGCACGAGTCGAAAGTCGGTTCACTATGTAAAACAACTCTTGCTTTACTTTTATTTATAACTTCTGCGTGGACATTGTTCTGAGTCAAGGCCAAAATGTCCTACATTTGCAAACACTTCCACATGGAAAAGATTAAAAGACCCGCAGTGACATTACAGACAACAGAGGTGAAGATGCGACGCGAGGGGATTCCTTTAGCATAGACTAAAGATTAGGCAATTGTTTCTTCTTGAAGGTCACTGCGTTTTTAACAGAAGGCCCAATACCTATCAAATCGGGAAGAGCTGTGTTTAAGTAACCAAAAATAGTTTGTTACTTTGACCTATCCACATTGTTTAGATAAAAAAACGAAATATTATTTCTTGATGGTGCACAGCTCTACGTCATTTCGCGTACGGTTATTTGTGGTTTAAAATATTTTATTTCTCCAAGGAATAAATTAATACAAGGGCGTGTTGACAAAATGTATTTATTCGAATGACGCTATACAAAGATGTTTAATGTTCTAGTAAAATTGTTATTATTATTTTATAGAGCAAATAAGTATTATAGTAGAGTATCCAATTGTTTAAAATATTTTTATTCCCGGATAATTTTACATTGACTATGATATGTGTGAGATGACAGTTATTATGCCGACAAACAACTTAAAAAAAAATATTTGGCAAAGGTTCAGTAATTACTGTAACAAAAATAATGAATACCATGGCAATGTGGCAACCTAATAAAAATTAATTGAAATAGAGACATATTTGTATCTAAATCATGAATATTTTGTTGTTATTTATTTATGTTTTGATTATGTGCTTTAGCTCCTTGTTTCTTCATGTTGAAGGTAGTCCAGGTTTTTAACAGAGCAGGACAGTTGATATAAGGCTTATTATCAACCAAGGAGTAACGGAGAGGAGTAATATCTCCAACTCAAAATAGATTTAAATATTTGATCACAATAAACGTTTACTAATAAATATAACCCTCCCCCGCAGTCCGCGCGGGTTATGTTTTTCAAGTTTATGTATGTATGTATGAGGTGTCGTTAGATTCGTCTTGATTGTGGGACTGTCATAGGCTATAAAAAATAATCAAAACAGTGAGAGAGTGAATTTTTTTTTTTATCTTTCCAGCTAAATATTTTTGCAGTCGGGTTTTTGTTTTCTTTTTAATAATTTTTAGACTTGTTTGCTCCATTTAATGTCAGGTTTTATTTGCTTTTAGAAGATATAAATTCTAAGATTATTATATCATTATTATAATCTGACAAAGAAATTGAATACACAAAATGTTACTAATAAATTAATTCGAGACATAAATTCAGAAGGGCTATTATTTCTTAGAGCGAAACGTAAGCTTGTAGACATAAAACATTACTTCGCAACGCATTTTTTTTACGACTTTTGCCATAGTCGTTTAAAAAAGTTTTGATGTAGGCACTAGAGACATTATTGTGGAGATTCTTACCTACTAAAATCCCATGTGGCCTACCTCCGAGCATTTTAGGAGGCACTGGTATCTCTTCCGGAAGGTAACACTTGTTTGTAAAGCACTTCGCCCTATCGTTCTTTTTCGTGGATATTCGCATACCTTTTGTGATTTAAGCAATAAACATTTAGTTGCGGTGTCATCAGATAGTAACGAACAAATTGCGTTGATATTGACTGTTTCTCAAACATGTTCGGAAAACTTTGCATTTCTTTCAAAAAACGAACACGGAAAGTTTGTCATTTATGGACCGTGCGACTTCTTTCCGGCCAAGTCCTGCAAAGTGTGTATGAAAATCCATTACTGTCCACTTCGCTAAACTTTTAAATCTACCTACTAATAAATAAACTATGTAAACAAGCAAAAGAAAAAGTCATGTAGCCACTGCCAAGTGTTCGTAATTGCATCGTAATTTAATCGAATTTTTTTTAATATAACACGGTAATATAAACTGAAGTGCTTTGGTATTCTTTTCTGTTTTTTTAGCGTTTTGACGCCGACACTGCCTTGACGACAATGCCTACAAATGCTATGTCAAATATGACTTTTAACTTTAATTAACATATTTTTTACTTTTTCATTAAACATCTTCTCTTTGGTCTTCTATTAGGCCCTCACATTGTTTGAGAAAATCACTGTATAAGCTTCGGCGGGAACGGGGATTGCTTGACTCGTATTTTATGTACACGGCCTCACTGGCACTCGGCTTTGTAACTCATACTAGTTCAGCAATCCCTTACTTCCCGGCCTCCGCATTAATGTACTAATTTGTTTTGTAATCACAATTGCGTTTATATGACTAAATTTATATAATAATGTCCCGAAATCCATCCGGGAATTGCTTGTAGATCTTTTTAAGATAAATGTAAGCAGTACTTAAATGACAAATGTTTTTATGATGTAAATGATTATATGAATACGAAATGGATTTAGGACTAATATGAAATACTTGGTCTAGTAATCTTTATGTGACTAACTTTAACACGTAGTGCAAGTTATTGTTGTATTTCCTTTAAATTTTGACATAAGTATTTTTTATTGAGGTGTAGAAATGTAGATTGAATAGCTTATTCTTGCTTTATTTTTGAAATTGTTAATTGTTTACTGTATTGTCCTCTACATGTTTACTCCTACGATTTTTTTTAACATGCGACCACCACTAATTATATTTGTATGTTTTCTCCAAACGGGTTGTACTAGCACTGTAAAGTATTATTTAAGACTTAATTGAAATTAATATATTGTACTTACTTCCACAAATTAATCTATCTTTATCTTTAATTATAATAATTTAATATACAACGAAGTACATAAGGGAAAAGGCATTAATTGTTTTGTTACTGTTAGGGTGTAAAAATATAGGGTTTACCGCATTAAAATTTTTCACAAAATTGACAGTCAACCGTAACCATGGGACCTGTAAAGGGCCCGAAACTTCGCTTTGTTTGAAAAAAAAAATATACGCGATTTAAATCCGGAAAAATAGTTTCATTTCCTAACTTAATATAGCTTTGACAATTTGGATGGACACATTTTTGATAAGTTATAATGAAAATAATTTGAACTTATGTTTAATTGACTAAAGATTGTCCCATAATAATTCTTTTAAAAAATTCGACATCATAAAATACCTAAAGTATTTTTTCTTATGTAAATTGACACTATACAATATCAAAAATAATTTTAACAAATCGGCACCATAAAATATATAAAACAATACTTCTTACAATAATCGACATTAAAAAATAAACATCACAGCTAACACACCATAATATATGTAGTATACAACGTAATAAGTATACTACTAATACGTAAAATTCCACAGCTGAACAAACTTCCACAAACAAATTATTACGATTAGCCAAAATCGTCAACAAAGTAAATCGAATTAAACATAATAAAAGTAGTCACCGGCCAAGTTCATCAAACCGCGTTGATTAAAATTTATAAACATAAAACCGGTACACTCCCAAAAACAAACACGAAATAATTAGGCAACCTATACTTTACCTGTCGATTCTTACATATTCTTGCGTCCGCATTATAAAACGTATGTTTTTAATATACACAAGTTTAATATGGTTTTAAAGGGAAAGGCAGCTGTTCAAGTTGGACGGTTAGTCGCCATGTCAAGGTTTGCGAGTTACTAAATGCATCTCCGTGTAACGAAATTCTCATGTGTAGTGCAATAATTGGATAGAAATATTCCACTGGCACGTGTTTTCAACGTGGTTTTATTAAGTAATGTAATTCATTAATCATACTTTTAACGGATGTAAGCACTAAGTCGACGCATGTTGACGTAATTACGGAAAAATTTATAATTATATCTTGTTCTGAAGCCGTTAGCATAGAATAACGATAAATCCGATTTGCTGAACTTGGTTTCTTTTACTATATTTTTCACCTTAGTTTTTATTTTGACCACAATATTAACAAATATTTTAAAAACACTTTTTAAAAGATGTTGTATTTATACCCGTGTAGCTGTGGTAGCCTAGTGGTTTGACTTATCGCCTCTCAAGCAGAAGGTTGTCGGTTCGAGTCTGGGCTTGAACCTCTGAGTTTTTTGGAATTTATGTACGAAGTTTATTTGAATATATCATGAGCTTTTCAGTGAAGGAAAACATCGTGAGGAAACCTGCACATCGAAGAAAGTTCACAACCTAAGGAAAACGTATGATGCCGCCAACTCGTATTGGGTTAGAATGGCGAACTGTGGCCTAAAATCTACGCCTGAGAGGAGAGTCAGCAGTAGGATGTATAAACTTATTATTATACATCCCACTGCTGGGTTTTATTATAAAACACTGTCTAAGAAGACAGATTCTTATGACTGGGAAATTTAAAATTGACTTGTCAAGAATTGCTAAAATTCTTGACATGACTAAAATAAACGTTTGCATGATTATGCAAAAGTATCTTATATAGTAATAAAAAAAACGTTATTTGTAATTATAACGGACTGTTAATGTATTACAATATTTCGTGCATTACAACACTGGGAAGGATGTAATGTACAAAATACTACATAAATGTCTACATTGAAAATGAGAAAATTTGAGTATGAACAATCAAATTAAAAGCGCCAAAGTGATCCATCAAAGTCCCAAGTCACATCGAACATGCTACAATGAGATTACAGTATGAAATTCTTCCTTTTTGTATTATCATAATGTCATTTTGATAAACCTTTATTGTGCTTTACTTTTGTCTTTAATTTTCCTAGTATTGTGGAATAAAGTAGCTTTTGTAGACTCAGGAGAAGATATAAAACTCTCGACAAGCTAGATAAATTAAAGACGATTTATAAGTTTATAGTCTGTATTTTTAAAGACGGAGTAACATGACAGTTCATTGCGTAAAAGTGTTGCCCGATTGTGAGCAGCTAGTGATTGCAGTCGATAAATGTTCTATCGACTATCGACTGAGTATTAGTCACGCTTATGGAGTAAATAGCTGAACTTGTTTCATTTGAATCATCCTCAACCCATTATTCATCCAATTATTGAGCACAAGTTCAT